AGAAAAAAATATTTGTTGTCCGTTTTCTTCCCGGCAAACTTCGAAATACTCGATAAATGGCTCGAATGACATCGTGCCAGAACGGTCTACACGTCCCGGCTTCTTTTTCGGTAAAGCGAAATGTAACGCGACCCTGCGGGGCCCACAAAAGCGGCAATTACTTGTCGAAAAAAATGAAAGAATGGGTGATTTGTTAATTATTTAGTCCGTGAGGAATAGAAGTAGCCCGAGAATTGACCGGAAAATCATGGTTGTGTAGAAGGGTTCATTGGCGACATATAGGAAGAAGCAAAAATCAATTTCGAGCTTGGACGAATTCGAACGGGCCCAAAAAGCAAAGTCGCGCGAAACACGTTTAATGTCTAGGTCAAGAGCTTTGGGAGAATATGATTTCAAGAATAATTTGGCCACGCAAGTATCGTTGAATAGAGAGGTTCGTTAGCTATGTATAGAAAAAAAGGAAATTCAATTTCGAGTTCAGACGAGCCCAAACGAGCTCGAAACACAAAATACATACTACATATTAATTTTTTTATTAATTTTAAAATATAAAAGACGTATTAACAAAATACGTTTTATTTATTAATTTTTTTTCCTCCAGTTTTTTCAATTGTTTAAAAAAATAACATTTTACAAATATAATTTTAAAATGTTATCAAAATACATTTTTTTAAAATATTTTAATTTAAAAAACATATTATGAGAATACTTGTTTTTTATATTTATCCATAATTTTTTTTTCTTTTTTATTTTTGTCCAATTAATTTTGTTGTTTGTTATATATATAAACTACCCAATTCTAATGGCTACTTTTAATTTTATATTTTCGCTTTCAATCACTTAGTTATGGTAACTTTTGGCTTTATTATCAACCAATTAATTTCCAGATTTCGAAAAGTAAAGTGTGTAAGCATTTTCTAAACAATTATAAATTTAACATCAATATAAAATAGTATATGGATGTCTTTATAAGTAAATTTACTTGTTAAAAGCAAGTACATAAAAAAATTGCATTTTTTAAATATTTATAAGTTTAACATCAATATAAAAGTATATAGATGTCTTTATAAGTAAACTTACTTGTTACAAAGCTAAGTTACAAACAATTAATTTTATCAAATATTTTTCCAAACTATTAATATAATCCACTAATCAAAATAACAATCTACTAATCAAAACAATTTAGCATAGTCCGCTGAAACTTNGGGCCCCATTATTTCATTTTCCTTGGGCTGTAATAATTTAGCACCTACACGTATAGTATTATATATACTCCTATATATTATAAAGATATATTATATAATCATCAGTTATTAAAATAATTTCACACAATGACATAATTATAATCCAATTTTCACAACTTTCAATCACTTATGTAACTCGAGGTCAGACCCAACACTTCCACATCCACACCACTGGACAATTAATAAAGATAAATAAAAATTTAAAATAGAGAGAGAGCGCAATAAAGTATAATAATTAAATAAATAAATCCACTAAAAGACAAATGGGACCCTCACATTTCTCGGAAGTTCCGTGACCCTGATCTGACCCCAGTTCATTTTCCTAAATCTCGTCATTCTCAGCCGTCGGATTAATCACATTCAACGGTTCATATCCATCACAGATCTCCACGAACCCCACCAAACCTATCGCCTCCGGCTGCCAGCTAGGACATTTTCATTTTTTAAATTCAGGACCCCTCCACGTGGCCATTCAATCTGACGGCCACGATCTATCACCACACCTGCAGACTGCATCTTAACCGTCCAATTTGGGGCCCACGTCCGCGACTACGGCAATTAAATAATTGGTAAAACTGTCCTTTTCATAAGACTATAGTAATACTTAATTGGGTTTCATTAATGACTAATTATTTATTCTTTTATTTTTTTCCGCTCCGATTTTTTTATCAATTGTAAGGGATTGATTGAGTAATATTATTATATATTCATATCCCTATTTAAGAATTGAATTAAATCTATACTTATATTAAAAACTATACATATCAGATTTAATATAAAGAAAAGTCAACAACATTTATTATATTACTATTTCCGTATTATACAATCATACTTATATAAAAGGAGATTCTATTTACTGCATTTACTATTCAAAAAAATCAATTGCATTAAATGCCATTACTATTTTGATATTATAATATTTTATTTATTTAATTGATTTATTTATTTATTTTATTTTAAAAAGATAAGTATAATAAAAATATTTTAATAATAAAAAAATCAAATACCAAATAAAAATGTACACTTTGACTTATTTGATTATATTTGGTATTTGATTATACCAAATATATTCCTATTTAGTATATACATTAAATACTTACTAAAGTATTTATTTGTTTTATTTGTCAAAGTTAAGTATAGATTTGTTTATATTATCAAATCATAAAAAAATATTAAATCCATATTGTAAAAAAAAAATCATAAATTTTATAACAACTCTACTACACTATTTAACAATATTTCTTTTTTATTATATAATAAAATAATAATTAAATATTATATGGTGAACAACAATAAGTAAAACTGTTACTTTCTCTTATATCAAAGGATAAATTTATATGCTAAAATTAAATTTTTATTAGTATAAATGTTTTAGTGAGATAATATATTAATTATTTTACAAGCTAGAACTAACATGCCCATATTTAATGTTTTAAAAGATGTAGAAAAAAAACTTATAATAACTCTATTGTTTTTTAGACTTAAACGTTGATTAAAAGAGGTAAAAATTCCTAATTTTTTAGACTTAAACGTTGATTAACACCATAGATTGAGAGTTTATATTTAGTAAAATTCCTAATTGTAATAAAAAAAATGAATTTTTGCTATATTTTAGAATATCTTTAAATTCATTATGAAAAAAAAAAGAAAAAAACTACAATGAAAAAAGCAAGTCAGCTATATATCGATTTGTTGTACTCTTCAAATCACATTCACAATTTGGCTACAAGAAAAGGAAAGAAAACTCATTGATTATAATATTATTTTGTCAGTAGTCTTAATGTACAAGAGACTTTAAGACTCACTTGAATATTATAAAATTTTTATTAAACATTGTACAATTTTCTTGCATATTATAAATTTTTATTGAATATTGCATCTTAAAATATAATATTCTCCAAATAAATATATATCGTGCTTTGCACAGGTCACGTACTATATATATGCCGTACATTTTTCTTTATTCATGTATATAATTATAAGCCTGGATAAATAGCCTTAAAATTGTGTACCTTGTGTATCGCACGGGCTCTGTACTAGTTAATAGTAAAAATTTTATTGAACATTGTACAATTTTCTTGCGTATTATAAACTTTTATTGAATATTGCATCTTATAATATAATATTCTCCAAATAAATATATATCGTGCTTTGCACTGGTCACGTACTATATATATGCCGTACATTTTTCTTTATTTATGTATATAATTATAAGTCTGGATAAATAGCCTTAAAATTGTGTAACTCGTGCGTCGCACGGGCTGTGAATTAGTTAATAGTAAGGGCCGTAATTATTGTTCCGGTTGGGGAAAAAAATGAAGTGTGTGTTTGAATTGAATTATTTATCAGCGTTGGGTGGAATTAAATATTTTTGCATAGGAAAAATGGTCCATATGGAAACCGAAAAAGGAAATTTGACCGGGGCTTTTGCGATATTTTCTGCGGTCACCTAGCTAGACTCCTTGTGATTCACCCATTGCAACCGGCTATACCCGGTTAAGCCCCACACCCCATCTCAAGTTCTCAACATTTTTGCTTGGTCTTATGTGTCATGTGTGTACATTTGACAAAGGCTCAATATTTCTCATATTTCACAATTTATTGTGATAAAAGTGTGTGTTTCTATTATGAGATGGCATATTTTATTTTATGTTTGTAATTATAATTTATGCTTATAAGATGCTATAATTTATCAAACATTTATATTAAAAATGCATATTTAAGCTATACGATATCATAATTGGTTAAACATATTTAATAAAAATGTATATTTATGATATGAGTTGTCATGCTTTGTTTAACTGCATTTAAATTTAATTTTGAACTGGATAGATATATTGAAAAAAGTAAAGTATGATTGCAGCCATACTTTTATTTTAAATGGTATTTATGATAAAAATTTATATTTTTATCTTCTTTACTTTTTTTTACTAGTTTAACTTAATTGCCATTATCTTGTGCCCAAAAAATGGAAAATAAAAGACTGTGGACATTATCTTGTTGGAATTAGATCACAAAATGTGGTGCATTCTTTACATTGATTTAACTAATTATTATTTATTTTTCTTAAATAAACATGCATTTGAGTTCTGTACTACAATTTTTTTATTACAGAAATTATAGGATGGAATTTAAAATTATTTATTTTTCTTAAATAACATGCATTTGAGTTCTGTACTACAATTTTTTTCATTACAGAAATTATAGGATGGAATTTAAAATAAATAATCATTGACATGACATTGCATATCTTGGGGTTTAGAAAATTTTACGGCTTGTTGTAGCAAATTCTAGTCTACCTTTAATTGGATCATTTTTCTTATTAATACCCACGTTAAAATTATGGTGCATCATATCCATTTCTACTTTTACAATAAATAATAATGGAATTCAGTTGCAAATTGCAATAAACCCGTTCAAATTTATAATCCAACAATAAATTATTATTATTATTATTGTACTAAAAGGACTACACACTTAGTGTCGTATAGCAAATGGCTTCTTTAAATTAGTAATTATCATTTCTTTTTAAAAAATGCACCAACATTAAAACATGGCCGCTTAACGAGAAAAGGAAAACTGACACGTAGACGGGTCAACGTGGTCTTAGCTCCCATCGACGGCTCGCAACGCCGCCACGGTGGCAGAAGTAGATCCTCAGCGGTCCGATGGGAAGCGGAATGGACGGCGGAGATCGATTCGCGTGACAGAAGCGATCGCATTTGAGGTTTCCACGAGGGCTTTTCTGTGTGTGTGAAAATAAGCGATGAGATAAATATATGAAAATGGAAAAAGGGTATTCATTTAAAGTGGCACAGATAGAGAGAGAGAGGAGATAGAGAGTTTAGAGAGAGAAAGAGAGAGCAAGAGGAAACCTCAAGTGGGGGAGAGAGAGAAGCTGAGATAGAAATTGGGGAGAAGGGAGAAGGGCGAAGGAGGGGCATTTCTGAAAAGATCTCAAGCAGAGATTTTTTTCCTTATCCGGTGAATCTTGAATTTGTCTCCGGCGATTCTTGTTGTTTTCCGGCGAGATATGCTCCGGCGACCGGCCTCTGATGAGACGTCGGATTAAATTTCAGCATCTGTGTGGTCGAGCTCGAGTTCAGATTCTGAAGCGCGTGAAGGTCAGTGATGGACAGAAACAGAGAATCCAGGAGAGCTAGCATCGTCGGCTCCAATGGCTTCAATCGGAGAAGGCACAGAACTAACAGCGTTAGAGACTCTCCAGGTTTGATGATGAAGATGGAGATTTAATTTAACCAGATCTGATTTTGCTTTTATCTCTTTTTGTTGTATGATTAAGATTTGAGCTTGCTGTTCTGATTTTGCTCAATTTTCGCCCTCTTATTTTGTTTGGTTTTGTGTTTGCAGATGAAGATGGGGGAGTGGAATTACAGGAATCTGTGAGGCTGAGGGAGAGAGTGAAGAAAGATCGAGATCGAGATCGGGAGAGGGAGAGAGACAGGGAGAGGGAAAGAGATAGGGAGAGAGAAAGAGAAAGGGAAAGAGATTTGAGAGAGCGGTCCAGTCGGAGTAAAAGGAGGAGAGCCGAAAGACTGGCGAGCAACAGAGATGACACCGGCGGAGATGAGACCTCCGACGAGAGCCTCAACGACGACGAGGACGAGGAATACGAAGATAACGTCGGCGTCAGGATGCTCTCTCCGGCGGTGGGTTCCGTTTCCAACCACCACAACCACCTCGTTCACGGTGGAGGCCACCATCATAGTCAGAGCAGTAGCTTTAGTCAACCACAACAGCACAACAGTAACAGCACTAGCAATATTGTAAGTAACAGCAGCCACCATCTTCAGCACAGGAAAACCTTCCCTCCAAGCTCTTCTTCTTCAGCCAAGGTTCTGAGGGCGCCGCCTGTTTGGAAATCCGGCGACGAGATGATAGGAGTCTCCGTTCCCAGAAAAGCTCGTTCTGGTAAGGAAACAAGATTTTATCTGCTGGTTTGTTCTTTTCATGGATTTTCTGTGAATCTTTTTTCTAATTATTTAATTCTTTTTTTTTTTTTCTGATTTTCTGAAGTTTCCACGAAGAGGTCGCACGATTGGATCTCAAGCACCAGCAACAACAGCAGCGGCGGAGTTTCCGGCGGGGCAGATCAGAATCCGGCGCAGCCGTCAAGTTCTCCGGCGAGACCGACGCACGTTTCTGCATCTCCTGTCACGCCCGCGGTGGCTCCACCGTCTCCATCTTCTTCCAATGCTTCCATTCGAAAAAAGCCTGTTAGTGTTTGCATAACAGCCCTTCAAATTTTACCCCAAAACATCAAAGATCATCTCTTTCTGTTTTCCTTTGACTTTTTTTCTTTTTTCCTAATCTGCCCAGAAACACAGCGCTAACAGCGCCGCCGGCCCTAAATTAAAGCCGCCGAAAGTCTCAGCATCATCGTCAAAACCCAGCTCTTCAAACCCGGAGGAGCTTGAGATTGAGATTGCCGAGGTTTTATACGGCTTGATGACCCAGACACAAGGCCCATCTACATCAAAGAAAGAGGAATCAAGAGAAGTTAATCGGTTGAGCATGGATGCGAAGTCACATAATTCATCTCCGATCTCTAATTCAATTCAGAATAACAATAATAATCTCCCAGCCGGAGGAGCTAATTCCGGCGCCCTTTCCGCCGTTGGTAAGTAATTAATTCCTGCTCATCTTTGGTTGTATTTGGTTTACAACACAGGAATGATTAAAAAAAATCGTTTCTTGATTTTTTTTTTTTTGGCTTATTTGCAGCCCCAAAGAGAAAGCGGCCGAGGCAGGTACCGGAAGTCTCGAATTTGGGCGTACGGACAAAACCAGAAACAGATCAGCCACCAAAGAGCGAAATATCATCTCCTAATGTGGAGAAAATGCCGGGATCTGCAGGTGAGAGTGCGTCTGAAGCCATCGAGGGCAATCCTGTCATTTCACAAGGACAGGCAGCCGAGCCGCCTGTGTTAACAGCGCAAGTTTCAATGAAGATGGAATCGGAGCTGAAGCCTGTGGCCAACGAATTTAGGGAAAGCAGAAGTTTCATCGCCAAGGAAGATGTTAGCTCATCTAAGGAGCAGGAATCTCCTGCTGTGAGAGTCCAGGATTCCAGTAATAGGGACTCGCCATCGGTAGCCACTTCTTCATCTGCAGCTGATACACCGACTAATGCGTAAGTTAAGAGAGGATGATTCTGAGGGATCCGTTTTTTTCTTTTCAATTACCTCTCTCTCTTTC